ACAGATAGCACTTAGAAAAAAGACTGTAACACACTGTATTTTTTTTTTCTTCTTTTCTCTTCTCCTTTTGTGTTGGGAGTTGTTCTGACGCTTGTCTTTTGATGCTAATTACTGGCCCTCAAGATATGGCTACTGCCTGCGTACACCTATCCTTGTTGTGTAAACCTGTCTAAGACATTATACCTAATTTGTTGATTAAAAGGCCTAAAACCTGGGCAGGCAGAATAGGGTAGCATGGCTAAAGTTCCTGAACTTTGGGAACAGGAGAATCGTGGGAAACAGACAGACAGGAAGAGAAGAGGAAGGAGGACGCCATGATGGGTTAGCATGGAGAAGGAACCATGTGTGCCGGGAGGAAGGACTCCATGGATGGCATGAATGGAAAAAAATACCAAATATAAGAAAGTCTTCATAAAATGATGGATGGGAGGTGGCCTAGATGAGGATGGTCAAGGAGGAAGGCATTGGATGGGGCTAGGAGGTGGATGATGAGGTTATTGAGACAACATAGGTAAAATTTTAGCTCAGCCAAAGAAAGATAAGGCAATTATAAAATTTAACGGGTGTCTCTGTCTCATTAATTGTTATAGAGCATTAAATAATACTGCCGTAATAATTATGGGGCTAATAATAAGTATTATATAGCCCAACATAATTTTTATACATCAACATTTTGTTTGCTCCTGTTTTGAAAACAAGTTATAAACACTGTCCTCAACACTGCTCTTGCTCCTTTTGAGAGTCCTGGCCAGGTGCTTTACAAAATAGCTCATATTCTCAATCAGCCACTGTAAAATCACTATCAATTTAACTCTTGAGAGAAGCAGCAGGCTCTACCTTGATTTCTCTCCTCCTAGCCCTCCTATTAGTTTTGAGGCTCTTTCAAGCTTCTTAGCACACAGCTCCACCTGGTCTTCCAAAGCTGCCTTTTCCTCTGTCTTCTCTTGAAAAATCCTTTCTAAATTTTCCAAGTGATGCTCTACCTCCGCCAGTTCCGCTCTCTTCTGATTCAAAAGCTCCATGGTCTCAGCCAAGGACTTCTGTGCTTCTGCCAAGCGAGCTTTCTTAGGAGCCACAACCTGTTTGGGAACAACACGCAGATGTGTGTGTTCTATGCAAAAGTTAGATGTTATGGGTCAGACATGGGGTAAAACAATATGTTATACATAATAAGCACCTAAATATTAAATAAAGCAAAAACACGTATAATACTTCATAAAACTGACAAATCATTTGGATATCTAAACTATAGTGTATAAAATAAACTATTCTGGAATAAGAAGATATTTTAATGTAGAGTAAAAATACAACATGTAGCGAAATGTTTTGAAATAAGGAGAAGTTGCCATTCAACTGAAAAAAAAAAATGGGGGTGGTAAAGCATTGTGATTTTTTTTTTTTTATTTCACTTGTTGGTTGTTTTTTTAAGACAGGTTCTTACTCTATAGCCCTGACTGGCCTTGAACTTAACCATATTGCTCTCAAACTCACGACAATCCTTTTGTCTCAGCCACTCAAATGCAAATATTACAAACATGAGCCACCATGTGTAGCTTGCCTTTCTGTTTTTACAGTAAGTTAAAAAGTGTGTGTGTGTGTGTGTGTGTGTGTGTGTGTGTGTGTTTAATTAACAATTTCCTCTCTAAGTCTGTGGCCTCCTTCGCAGTCATCCCAAGGATCACATTGGCCTTGGAGAGATTAAGACTATGATAGTAAAGACACAAGGAAGAAAACAGGTTTGTGGTAAGTCTCACAGAATTAAAAGCTTCCTCAGGAGGCTCTCTGTCCCCTGCCCCCATTCTGGAGACAGCTGCACCTTTTCTGCAGTGCCAACCTAGTCCCTAAGGCACAATGGTGAAGGTGAAGGTCAGTGTGATGGATTTGGCTGTGTCGGGCAGCTGGCTACCAGGGTTTCCTTCATGTTTGGCAAAGGATATTGTTACCTGTTAAAGTCTTCTAGGGGCTGAGTGCCAGAGTCTCTCTCTGCTTTGGCAAGGGTGCAGGGTCCAGGGTAGGATCTGGGATGGTATGTGGAGCCCCACGTATGCTTTATCTCTTGGGTCACCAAGCTGATGGCTCAGGCAACCGATCAGGAACCAATCATGAAAGATGATTGAAAGAAAATGAAGTAGGGGAGGGAGCCCAGGATTCCTTCTCTAGGTCTAGGGACTGGCTACACTGCTACTAAGAAGGAAAAATTTCACTGGTCATATTTTTTTGCTGTAGCCAGGACTGTAAAATGGTTTCTGGCCAAAACTTCAAAGGGTTGTAAAAGGGGATTTTTGATCTGAGATTAGCTCCTGTGCAGGGCAGGCCACTGCTAAGGTTAACTTTTTCCTGCTTGCTGTAGGCTGATAGTTAGATCCCAAGTCACTGTTAACTTGTTTGTAAGTCACTAAGAAAAAAGAAAAGAGGAAAGCAAGCAAAGAACATTCACTCATATTTGTAAAGGGAAAAAGTGGATGAAATTAAGAACTTTAACTTCAACACATTCCCACAAGTTTACATACAACAATGGTGTTGATTTCCGCAGAGGGGATTCTGCAGAAACTGCAGAAAGTTTAGGCTGCTGGTTCCAAAGAATCAGCCCTTATGTACACATAGACAAACAATCAGACATGTAGACCTGTACATATTCATACATACATTCAATGGACAGTACAGAAGGAGCTCCTTCCATACAGACAACTGACATACACTCATGTAACATATGTACAAAAAACAGACAGAAATAGTTACATGTAAACACATATCTATATACATATTTATAACTCATGGATGAAGTGAATTCTATCAGGTTTCCATTCAATGAGTTTCTACCGCCAGACTTCTTTCAACGGAGGTATGTGTGTGCCACCATTTATTGTATAGGCTTTATATCTCTGAGACAAAGCTCCCAGAAAAGGAAATACCTTGTCAAAAAGGGAATTAATCACAAAAACAGATGAATACTAAAATACAACAGGTTACATGTTTTAAAACTAAGCATTTCTTATCTATGCATCCATTATAGAAGTTCAAAGTGAGTTCAGAGTGACAAAGTTTGACAAAGCCTAAAGGTTAACAGAGTTTAAAAGTTACAATAATGTATGTCTTTTCAATTTGGACCGACCTGGATGCATACTTTCCAGCTATCTCTAAGTTTATAAAAACAAAGTAAATTTAAAATGACAGTATATAACGCCATGAGGTAATAAGGTATAAGGAATTACAACAGAACAATTTGTATATATTTTGACATTAAGGTTTGTACTTAATTAGACATTGCTTGGTAGTCCCATTATAATTTGGGCTCATAGGAGGTTTAAACCAACTTGCCTATATTTGTGGTATATACCAGTATTCATGAATGAAAGCTTATCTTGAAGAAACAATTCTGTCTCAAGCCTGTCTCCTAGTAAGTCATCTGGAGGTCCACAGATGTATTTGTTGCAGCCATAAACTTTCTAAAGTTGTTTTAGAAGTTCTAAAACAAATTAACTTTTAAAATTGTTTGAATCAAATCAGGAATTCCATAACCAGGAATTAATTCATCTGAACATCAGTATATCTTCATTAAGATTCCATAGGAAGTTTGTTCAATCAGTGTGTGTGAATACCCAGAAAGTGATGATTCCCATCATACCAGAGTACAGAGAGATGCAGCAGTATACAAAGAATGAGTGTCAGAGACTGGAAACCGTTCTGGGGTTTATCATGGTTCAGACCTTGCAAAATACTGAATCCCCTTCCAGAAGGCCCGCCTGCTCAATAAGCTCCTTTAGCAGAATGGTTCCTGATAGTTGCCATCAATGACCCCTTCACTGACCTCAACTACATGGTCTACATGTTCCATGACTCTACCCATTGCAAGGTCAATGGCACAGTCAAGGCTCAGAATGGAAAGCTTGTCGTTAATGGGAAGGACATCACCATCTTCCAGGAGAACAATCCTGCTAACATCAAATGGGGTGATGCTCATGCTGAGAATATTGTAGAGTCTACTCATGTCTTCACCACCATAGAAAAAAAAATTTTAACTGAACATTTTTATTTCTGGGATTATTTTAGTAGGAAATAGATATGCAAATCCTGAAAATACCTTTGCAACTCTGTCATACACTTCCATAGCCATTATCCACTTGCACAGACCCTCAGCTGCAGAAGAGGCTTTAGCGACCTTAGGGGGATCAAACTCAGGGTTTGTCAAGTATTCACTACGAATCTTCTGCATAACAGCCACCTAGATGACAAAGATTTAAAATTTAAAATTATAGCACATATCACATAATCATAGAGTGGAGGAAAATCATATGCAATTTGAAACAGTTACAGTGAGGGCTACTAAGGTGACTTATTGGTTAAGAGACACTTGCCACCAAGCCCGATAATCTGAGTTCAATCCCTAGCACTCATATGATGAATGGAGAAACCTAGCTGCCTTAAGCCAGCCTTTGGCCTCCACCCGAGCGCCTTGGTGCCATGGTACATGTACCTATTCATGTCACACACATACACACACACACACACACACACAAGTTAAATAAATGAAAAATTATTTTTTAAAGTTGTTTCTAAAACTCAAAATAAACATTTTGGGATAATTTTAAAAATGTAAAGACATCAACAAACCAAATAACCCAATTTAAAAAAATGGAGCACATATCTAAACAGAGAATTCTCAACAAAGGAATCTGTAATGGCCAAGAAGAACTTAAGGAAATGTTCAACATCTTTAGCCATCAGGGAAACGCAAAGCAAAATGATTCTGAGATTCTATCTTACCCCCATAAGAACTGTTAAGATCAACAACTCAACTAACAGTTCATGCTAGCAAGGATGTGGAGCAAGAGGAACACTCCTCCATTGCTGGTGGGAGTATAAACTTGTACAGCCACTTTGGAAATAAATTTAGCTGTTTCTCAGAAATTTGGGAATTGATCTACCTCAAGACTCAGCTATAACACTTCTGAGTATATACCCAAAGGATGCTCCACCATACCACAAGGACACTTACTCAACTATGTTTATAGCAGCTTTATTCGTAAGAGCCAGAAACTGGAAACAATCTAGATATCCCTTAACTGAAAAATGGATAAAGAAAATGTGGTACATTTCCATAATGGAGTATTAGTCAGCCATTAAAAACAATGACATCATGAAATTTTCAGGCAAATGGATGGAACTAGAAAAGATCACCCTGAGAGGTAACCCGGATGCAGAAAGACACACATGGTGTGCACTCACTTATAAGTGGATATTAGCCACAAAAGATAACAATGCTACAGTCCACAGACCCGAAAAAAGCCAAGCAACAAGGAGGGCTCAAGGGCCGGGGCGGAGGGGGCACGCTTGAATCTCACTGAGAATGGGATATAGAATAGACATCATGGGAGACAGTGCGGGGCGGGGCTGAACTGAAGTGGGGATGGGAATGGAAACAGTAGGGATCAGGTGGGGGTAGGGAGAGAGGGAGGGAAAGAGTACTGGGAGAGACAACCAAAATCAGGGTCTGGGGGAATCTCTGGTACAACCTAGGGCAATGGAACCTCCCAGGAATCCATGAGGGTGACCCTAGCTAAGACTTCTAGCAAAGGGGGCTGTGGAGCCTTGACTGGCCATCTCTTGGAACCAGGCAAGACTTCTGATGGAGAGATTGGGATACTAACCTGGCCACAAAACCTTCAACCTATGATTTGTCTTGCCTACAAAATGTGCTGGTGTAAAGATAGAGCAGAAATGGAGGGAGTTGCCAACCAATGACTAGTCCAGCTTGAGACCTGTGCCGTGAGAGGGAACCCATCCCTGATACTGCTAATGATAGCTCTGCCATGCTTGCAGACAGGAACCTGGCATAATGGTCATCAGAGAGGCTTCAGCCAGAAGCTTATGGAAACAGATGCAGAGACCCACAGCCAAACATTAGGTGGAGCTTGGGGAATCCCAAGGAAGAGGGGGAGAAAGGGTTGGAGGAGCTAGAGAGGTCAAGGACACCACAAGAAAAACCTACCTAATCAACTAACCTGCGCCCATAAAGACTTACAGAGACTGAAATGCCAACCAAGGAGCCTGTATGGGATTGACCTAGGTCCTCTGCACATATGTTACAGTTGTGTAGCTTGGTCTTCATGTGAGACTCTGAACAGAGGGATCAGGGGCTGTCTCTGACTCTGTTGCCTTCCTTTGGGACCATTTTGCCTACTGGGCCGCCTTGTCTAGTCTGAACACCTAGTCTTACTGCAGCTGATATACCAGGGCTGGTTGACATCCAAGGGAGGCCTTTCCTTTTCTGAAGAGAAATGGAGGATGAGTGGATTGGGGGAGGGGAGGTCAGAATGGAAGAACTGGGAAGAGAGGAGGGAGGGGAAACTACAAGCAGGATGTAAAGTAAATTAATTATTTAATAAAAAGTTTAAAAAGTATAATGATAGCAGAAACAAAATATTTATGATAAATATACATAAATCCACAGATATTAAAGGTATTTTTTCCAAAAATGCTAAAAAGACTCTGTGCATTGACAGAACATTTGAAAACAGAATAAAACAATTAAACACTAATACGTAACAATTCAAATGGAAAAATCTGATACCCTCTTACTTTATGTAAATATGAACAAGATTTCCTGATAAAGGAACTACTTATTATACAAAGATATTTAGAGAACTTTTTCAGGTCAATAGTATACTCAAATAGTAATTTATTAACTTTCTAATCATCCAAATGTTTTTTGCATTATGAAAAATTCATACCATAGCCATTAATAAATACAGTGCCCTTCCATCAATTATTTGAATCTCATAAAAATGATTAGCTCCTTATGTTTTGTAAGAGAGTGTATAAATTAAAGATCTTTCACATCATGACAAAATCACACATAGAAAAAGGAAATCCAATATAACTTACTGGAATGTTGTCCTTGTCATACTCTTTCAAATCTCTTAAGAAATTCATATCTCCCAGAACTTTTTTGCTAGGTCCCCAGTAATCGAGTATCTACAAATGAAAGTTACAGAAATGCATTAGCTATACAATTGAAAGTGCACATTAGTCAGAAAGATGTTTATATATCCTAAAGATCTTAACTTCTTAAAAATAAAGACTCATTTCCTACCAGATGTGGTGGCACATGCTCTTAATTCCAGCAAAAGGAGGTAAACAGATCTCTGAGTTCAAGGTCAGCCTGGCTAACTTACAGTGTTCCAGACAAGTCAGGGCTATGTGTGAAACCCCATCTTAAAAAGAAAGAAAGAAAGAAAGAAAGAAAGAAAGAAAGAAAGAAAGAAA